AGTGATTAAAGATGACTCAAACAGGCAGGAATGACTAAAAGCTACAACGTCAGAGTTTAAATGAGAATGAAACAATGGTAATCTGGTTAAAAGCTCGATTTAACAAAAGTCCTTTTAACAAAATAATGGATTAGGTTCATCTAAAAAATTCAAATAAATCCTGCCTTGTGATTCACTGAACAGTTCTTTGAATTGCAAAATGAAAATATGTAAAAAGGTATTTGTGTTGGCTATTAGGGGAATTATGTCGGCGAGGGGGAAGCGGGACACGAGCTGATGACGTTATGATGAAATTAGTCAGTGTTAATTATGAATGATGTTTCCAGGAACGAGATCAAACTATGCCCCTGCAGTTCTATTTGTGTGGGCAATGATTTCTTCTGTTACATTATTCAAAGTCCATAATCATCCAAATAAAATTAAAAGGAACGGTGTGTAACTTTGTGGAGGTGGTCAAACCATACTTCAGAACATTCTCCATGGAAGCAATACTTACCTCCAGGTCACATAAGAGTCAGGTTAAGGATGTGTAATACAAATATTTTAATAGATTTTTGGCTAAAATTGGTCATTTTAAGATACTACAGGTAAAACACATTTGTGAATTTCTGTATCAAAACATTCACAAATTATGGCAAATATCGATCGATAGAACATTTTAAATGCATTTATTTCAGTATATTTTTTACATTTCTGTTAGAGATGGAACAAGATCTCACAAGATAAAATTGAGAAACAAGCATGAGAAAAATGATCTAGAGACATTTGCCTCATGTGTTGGCCTTTGGTTTGACACAAATGGGGCGAGTTTCAATATTTACATTTCTGGAGAAGCTTGAAACGCAATACTACAATAACTATAAAGTAAAAATATTGGATAAAGTAAATCAAAAATGTTAAGCAAAAATTGTAAACTGGATCGCACAATTTATTATTATTATTTTTTTTACAATTTATATCAAAGTCTTGTTCTCATATAATAATTGATGGTATTATTGTGTTATTATAGTGTAAACACTTTCAAATTAAAGTTTAAATGTATTTTATTTTTTAAATACATATTTGATTATGTCAAAGTTTCACAAAAAAAAAAAAAAAAAAAAAAAAATATATATATATATATATATATATATATATATATATATATATATATATATATATATATATATATATATATATAGGCTGAAAATATAGTAGACAATATTTATGCTATTTACCTGTTTTATCCCCATTTTATACATTAGTGGTAGTAGTGGGAGTGGTAGTAAGTGTAGTGTAGTAGTAGTAGTAGTAGTAGTAGTAGTAGTAGTAGTAGTAGTAGTAGTAGTAGTAGTGTAGTAGTAGTAGTAGTAGTAGTAGTAGAAGTAGTAGTAGTAGATAGTAGTAGATAGTAGTGGTAGTAGTAGTAGTAGTAGTAGTAGATAATGGTAGTGTAGTAGTAGTAGTAGTAGATAGTAGTAGTAGTAGTAGTAGTAGTAGTAGTAGTAGTAGTAGTAGTAGTAGTAGTAGTAGTAGTAGTAGTAGTAGTAGTAGTAGTAGTAGATAATGGTAGTGGTAGTAGTAGTAGTAGATAATGGTAGTAGTAGGTGGTAGTATTAGTAGCAGTGGTAGTAGTAGTAGTAGTAGATAATGGTAGTAGTAGTAGTAGTAGTAGTAGTAGTAGTAGTAGTAGTAGTAGTAGTAGTAGTAGTAGTAGTAGTAGTAGTAGTAGTAGTAGTAGTAGTAGTAGTAGTAGTGTAGTAGCAGTGGTAGTAGTAGTAGTAGTAGTAGTAGTAGTAGTAGTAGTAGTAGTAGTAGTAGTAGTAGTAGTAGTAGTAGTAGTAGTAGTAGTAGTAGTAGTAGTAGTAGTAGTAGTAGTAGTAAGTAGTAGTAGTAGTAGTAGTAGTAGTAGTAGTAGTAGTAGTAGTAGTAGTAGTAGTAGTAGTAGTAGTAGATAGTAGTAGTAGTAGTAGTAGTAGTAGTAGTAGTAGTAGTGGTAGTATTAGTAGCAGTGGTAGTAGTAGTGGTAGTGGTTGTATTAGTAGGAGTGGTAGTAGTAGAAGTAGTGTGATGGTAGTAGTAGGTAGTAGTAGTAGGTAGTAGTGTGGTAGTAGTAGCAGCAATATTTTCCTTTTTTTGCTTATATTTATTACCAATATTTTAATGTATATTCTTAATTAGTTTTATTTGTTTCCAATATTCAGCTTTTTGTTTTAAATGTATTTTGTTTTGCCGCTATTCACAAACAGATCAGACTCTCTAATACTTTACTTGTATTTGTATATTCATATGTATTCTTCTGTTACTTAAAAAAGAAAAAGAAGAAGAAAACTAGAGCAGATATATGATTGTAAACTGTTGCTTGTTTCTCCCTCTTACATTCTCTTTGGCCTGGATCAGATCTGTGCTTAAATGTGATATAAGCCTCTTGCCAGATCTGTGCTGGACACTGGTTGGACCTGTTCTGGTTGCTATGGTGACAGCCTCCTTATCAGCTTCAAAACGATGGGCGCGTCCAAAATTCTCATACAGGCTCTAATACAGAAAATCATCAAAGTCATGTCTAAAATGTGAAAACTGTGCGCTAAATCTCAAATATTTTAACCTCGAAGTGTAGTTATGTTGTTGTTGTTTACATTTTAATCAATAATCGTTCATATTTGTTAAAGGTGCTGTGAAAATTGTCATAGAAAACCAAATCAGGATGGATATTTTTGATTGATGGAGTAATAATTTGATTGAATTTGATTTTGCCTGCAGCACGTGTTTGCAGAGACAAAGGCTGGACCGGGAAGTGCATAGGCTGAACACATGCGCCATCTGGTGGTAGACGGCTGCACTGACACACTGTAGACGTGCTTGTTTTCAATAAATATATAAATAACTACTCAGCAAAAAGTGTTCAGTGTTAAAATTGACTCACAGAATCAATTTGAACATTTTCTCAAGGTTTATATGAGTCCAATCTGTTCTAGAGTTAATTTAATTTAAATTTTTGGAAATGTTAATTAAGTAACACTGGACCAAAGTTCCTGTTTAACCCCAAAATCAAGAGTTATATTAACGTTTTGAGAGTAAACAGATAACACTTTGTAGGGTTATCCTAATTTAGCTAAACAACACACAGAGCTGTTTTATTTTTACACTTAATTTCATCTTAAATTCACTAAAATAATGTACGAAACTGGTTCTAACTGGTCTTCTCTTGCGGGAGTTTGAAGTGGTGGGTGGAAGTTGAATAATTTAACACTATTGGAAGTTGAATGAACACTAAGGGAAGTTGAATTAACACTAAGGTATAAAAAATGTTTCAGAAGAAGCGCTTCCTGGACCTCCAGAGGATAATACACAGTAGATCCAACTCAGTGGTGCTCTTTGGGAAGGGATGTCAGTACAAAGATGCAAAAAAAAGATGCAAAAAAACCCAAGGCACTCACTGGTTCAAAATTCTGTTTGTCCCCTGAGGAAAGCCAAGGCTGAAACGCGTCGGGACTTTTTTAGTTGTCCATTAAGACATGCCGTAAACTAATAAAGGCATTTTATTTTGAACCAGTGAGTGCCTTGGGTTTTTTTGCATCTTAACACTAAGGTATGTTGAATGAACATTAGGGGAAGTTGAATGAACACTAGAGGAAGTTGAATGAACACTAGGGGAAGTTGAACACTAGGGGAAGTTGAGTAAACACTAGAGGAAGTTGAATGAACACTAGGGGAAGTTGAATTAACACTAGAGGAAGTTGAGTAAACACTAGAGGAAGTTGAATGAACACTAGGGGAAGTTGAATGTTGAAAACACTAGGGGAAGTTGAATAAACACTAGGGGAAGTTGAATGAACACTAGGGGAAGTTGAGTAAACACTAGAGGAAGTTGAATGAACACTAGGGAAGTTGAATGAAACACTAGGGAAGTTGAATGAACACTACACTAGAAAGCACTAGGGGAAGAACACTTGAATTAACACTAGGGGAAGTCACACTAGGGAAGTTGAAGTTGAAGTAAAAACACTAGAGGAAGTTGAATGAACACTACACTAGGGGAAGTTGAATTGAAGTTGAATTAACACTAGGGGAAGTTGAGTAAACACTAGAGGAAGTTGAATGAACACTAGAGGAAGTTGAATTAACACCAGGAGAATTTGAATTAACTTCAACCACATCAACGCTGGCAAATAGCCTCAACTCGAAACCCCATTTAACTTTCAAATAGTTAAAATAACACTTTTGTGAAATATTTTACCTTGAAACTTTAACTCTCCAGTTTTTGCTCTGTGCTTCGTTTGCTGGCAAATAAGTTTACAGATTAATTTAAAGAGGAGGTATAACACTTCTTTGAGATATTAACTGTAACACATCACATATTTACAACAGCATCTACCTTTTATTGTTTTGATAATGTTCAATTCACCTAAAATAACGCATTATCATGTTGTGAAGTAAAATTTTTGTGTTTTGAAGCTCAAAAGTCACTCCCCATTACAGTGTCATAAAGTCACAGTGTAACAAAGTCAATGTTATCACTTTACAATCAGTAAGTCGCGTCAGGTTTGTCTGGTCGCTGCGGACACTTTTGTATCACATTTTCAAGGTTTAAAGGGCCGTCACCTGCTTCTCTCCATGGAGACGTTGCCTTTAATGTTCCACAGTATGGCATTACACTTCTTGTCCCTACGGAGACATCAGTTGACACCACAGGGCAAGGTTACATGTCAGAGCTTACAGTAAGAATGCCAGTTTTTAGGTCAATAAAAATCCATGTTATTGAGTAAATGCAGTCTAAACAGTAACTTTTCTGGTGGACATCACAAGATAGAAGAGCGTTTTAAGATCTGGAGATGACAGACTAATAATGCTGGATTACTCAAAGACGTAAATGAAACAAAACACTACTCCAGGTCTGTTTTTAATAAGGTAACAACATTCTAACATGACTTAAAGTTCACAAGAGTCCATTTTGGGTAATGTAGGACCTTCGATATCTTCACAAATGATTCCACTTTACTGATTCTTTTCTTTTTGTCCAGGTGAGCGTCCGTACCCCAGGCATGGCAGACGGTCAGGAGCACTGGACCTCCAACGGTCAGGAGAACGGAGAGAACGGATACTCCTCCTACAGCGCCACCTACAGGGAGAACGGATACCACGCGGCGGGAGGGGGAGGGGCCACGGGAGCACCCACAGGTAAGGACCGCCCACAGATCTTGGGAGGAGGAGGGGCAAATGTTTATGGGTCAAATGCACTGGGTCTTAGTACAGGAAATGGTACAGGTGCAGTGGATTGAAGAAGAGTTAAGGGATAATGAGAATAACTTGGTAAACAAAATATACACTCAAATATATGAAACTATTTGCTTTGGATCAACATAAAATGAAGAAATGGGTAAAGGTGACGTAATATATTTATGTAGAGTCAACTTATTTTTTTTTTTTTTTTTTTTTTTGAGTGTGTATAGTTTTGTTCTTATAAGTCCAAAAAGCTGTTGCCAAGGGAGATACAGTACTTTGCAAAGTTTAACTAATTTCTTCCCTGCAATCATACACCTTATTTTTTTTAATAAATACAGGGTTCCCATGGTCATGGAAATCATGGAAATTGAAAATGTCATTTTCCAGACCTGGGAGAGTCATGGAATTTTGTAAATTCAATGAAAATCTTGGAAAAGTCATGGAATTTTAGTATCTCTTTCACTCAACTCCAGCGTTCTGTTAAGATCTCATGAGGCTATTCTTATTATTTCTGAACGTCTGCACCTTTTGTTTAAGAGAGATTATAATAAATACACTGACAGGATTTTGAATGTTCAAAAACTATAATCCCAAACCATAAGGTGAGTGGAAAGAGTTAACATTTCATATTTAGCCCTAAAAGTCTGATCAATTCTGCTGTAAAGTCATGGAAAATGACTTTAGGTCATGAAAAAGTCACAGAAAAGTTTTGAAATTTTGTCCATGAAAAAAAGTGGGAACCCTGTAAATACTCAGATAAAATTCTGGGTATTTCAAATCACTGGTAGTACTGAAAAAAGTGACTATATTACTGGTATTGATACTGATATTGGAAAATAAATATTGGATTGATATTGGGGGGGGAAAAAAAAGATATTCATTTACTCTTAGGTAGCAATACTTTGAGGCAGAGGTGAGAACAAGTCGTTGTTTTGCAAGTCTCAAGTAAGTCTCAAGTCTTTGACCTCAAGTTCTAAGTCAAATACAGGCAAGTCCAAGTCGAGTCTCGAGTCACTGGCCCATAAGTCCAAGTCAAGTCCAAGTTGTCCACTTTGGGCTTCAAGTCATTTCAAGTCTTTAAACTTAGATTTTTGCAATTTATATGAATTTTAAAGTAAATTGTACTTAAAAAGTCATGACATATTTATATGTGAGTATTTATGCAAGAGTTATAGGAAATAATTTAGTCAATTTTTCCTTTTTAAATGTCTTGACAAGATCTTAGTGTGAATCATTACGGTCAGAACAGAAAGAATTCAGACTTAAAAGTGCTTCTCAAGTCTTCTCAAGTCACAGGCCTCAAATCCAAGTCAAGTCCCAAGTCATTGACTTTCAAATCCAAGTTGAGTCCCAAGTCTTAGTCCATTTTATCAAGTCAAGTCTGAAGTCCTAAAAATAGTGACTCAAATCTGACTCGAGTCCAAGTCCAGTTGGAAAAACCAAACCAAGTCTTAGATTAGAACTAAACCAGGATCAAATGTATGAACTTTTGATCCAGTTTTTTTTTTTTTACAACTACTGTTTTAACAACTCTTTTAACTGCTAAGAAAACTACTGGATTTATTGTGTTAACTGTGTTCAGTTCAACTCTTTTAATGTTCAAGGTAAAATCATTTCACACAAGTTCAAGTACGAGTCAGCCTCTGTGCATTACACTTTTCTGTCTGAGCGACGTCTACAGTTGTAATTTCACTGTATTTCATGTACATTCACCACTCAGCGAGCAGCCTATATCGTCATAGCAACAACCAATGTGTTTATTAAGTCCTAAAAACACACATTATTAGCTGTTCCACAGAATAAATTACAGTTTTGAGCTAATTGCAAAGAGCTGTCTCATGGCTATTTTGGGGTTCTGAGTATGTTTCATGTAGCAGTCCTGTTGTATTCTACTGTTTCATTGGTGCTTTAGTCAAACGTGTGTGTTTATTTTCACCCATATTTGCTGGTAAGTCTGTTCATTTTGTATTATTTATCGTTACAAATATGCAAAATGAGAAAAAGTGTCCATGGCAACACGTCACACTGCAAAAAAACAGAATCTACCTGAGTTAAAATCACTTGAATTCAGAATCTTGATTTAAGTTTGTTGGTCAAGTTTTTAAGACTACGATTACGATTTTCAATATTATTCAACTCAATTTGACTTATTTAGTTGATGAGGTGCGCTATGGCATTAAACATCTCCATGGAGACGAGCAGGGAGCGCCACCAGGTCAAGTTATAGGTCAGGTCTGTGGAGAGGCAAACCCATTTACAGTAAGAATATAAGTTTTTCAGTGTATTTTGGAGCAATAAAAACACTAGAACTTGAATAAATGCAAGACTGATAACTTTAATGCCATACTGTGGAACATTCTAGACATAGAAATAACATTTCCACGGAGACAATCAACCAGAAAAGTTACAGAGTGCACTTTAAGTTTAAAACATCCCTTTTATTTAGACATAAAAGAAAGAAACATGCCCAAAATACAGTTTCCAAGTCAAAAAATCTAGAACAAATAGAAGAAATCTTAAAGCCACAGTATGTAACTTTTTACCCCAAAAGATTATGTAAAATAAATGCTTTTTAAAAAATAATTTAGTTTGTGTTTATTGCATTGAAAAAACTTGGAAAATCATGCATTCGTACACTGAGCGGGCTTGCTTCTCCACAAACCTGACTCTTATTTGACATGAAGAACTCCACCTACTTGTTTCTATGGAAATGTTGTTATTTTCATTAGAAATATTGGCCCTCATTCATGAATCTTTTTCTTAATTTTTTTTTTGTTGTAACTTCCAGTTCAAGAAAATGCTGAGAGATTCAGTGTTCTTACGCAGACAAATTCCTAAGTGACAGTTTTGCCGAATTCACCAACACCAACTACGAACACCTCCACGCTATTTTACAATTAATTTACATAGAAAATGAAAATGTATTTGGTTAGAAACGTCCTCTGAACTTCCAAATATAAGCACTGGGGTTGGGACAGACTGAGGCTCAGTGCAGCCTGGAGAAAGTCTGTTAGACCCAATACACACAGAGTCTATAACAGTGTTTCCCAAACGTTTTTCTGGGGACCCATATTTTAAGTCAATAAACATTATTCATAAATCACAAAATAAAGGTAGATTTGACCATTACTGAACATTAATGAGGACATTTTATTGTTGACTGAGTTTTAAACAATGAAAAACACTCAACAGTTTTGGGTAAATCATTGAAGCAGCAATAAAAGGATCTATAAAACACCTATTTGGACGTTAATTGTAGAACATGACTTTTTCTTTTCAACATTCAATTGAACCAGCAATATTGGACCTACATGCAGATCATTACAAGGCAACCCCCCAAAAAATGTCTTGCAACTCACTTGAATGTTGCAACCCAGTCTTTGTGAAACACTACTCTAGAAAACTCCTCATAAATGTTATTGGATCACACGGTCATATGTTTATAGGAAATAATTTAAGAAAATATATAACTTACAATCATGGAGGAATTAAAAAATTTTTTGTTGCATTATGAGAGTAATAATATTCTAAAACAGTAGAATTTTTGTTCTTACAAGTGCTTCTGACTGTTCGTAGGATTTGTTCTTACAGAAAAACCTTTTCAGTTAAGAAAAAGTTTTGTGAATGCCAAAAATGTTCGTAAGTACAAATTTGTTTTTAAGAACGTTTCATAAATGAGGCCCACTGTTACTTTCGTCCACACTATTGCAGAAAACTGTCTCCACACTGAAAAAAAAAAACCAAAACAATATCCAGATAAGTTAAAATGACTTAAATTAAGAATATTTGACTTTATTTGAGTTGATTCAACTTGACAAGTGACATTATCTACCAGTAGAATAAGTGTTGTTTACTTAATTAAAGCAACATTAGATTTAGTTTGTTATTTTAAGGGTAAAGAGTTGTGTTTTTCTTAGTTTAAGTGTAGCAAGATGTATTTTCATATTTTAGTACAAAAAGTCTTATTCCACTGGTAGATTTTAATTGACCCAAATCCTGATAAAATGTTCTTAATTCAAGTCATTTTAACTTAACTAGATTTTGTTTTTTGCAGTGCATGGAGAAACTACTGAAGTGTGGCTTTAACTTTCTATTTCTGTGCTTTAACTATACTTGAAAACAAAGTTAAAATTCTGAATTTGAATAGTTTTACCTCACGTAGTAGCCCAATTCTTTTTCTTGCAGTGTGCCCAGTAAAAACCTCAAACAAACCTGTGTACTTCCACCCTTTCATCCATGTCCTGTCCCCCCCCCCGCTGTGCCCCCCTCCCCCCCTCCCTCTCTCTCTCTCTCTCCCCCTCCTCGCAGTGGACGAGTCGGCCAACCTGCCTCCCTCCCCTCCCCCCTCCCCGTCGGCCGAGCAGAGCGGGGCCGCGGCACCAGGTACGCCCAGAGGTACACCCCGCCCCCACGCACCTCCCCCTGGGCCCCGCATGCCCGCCCAGCGTCCAGGAGGGGGCAGTGTGAATGGTGCCCACAGGTTGCCAGTTTGAACTACACAGGAAACGAGCACAATTCTTCTGCATGTTAAATACTAAACTTTAACTCTTTGACTCTCAGAAAAAAGAGTTTGCAGTGGTTCGAAGTTATTCCTCACTTACCTTACGCTTTCAGAACCTCCTAATCCTAAAAAGCTTAATATACCAGTTAGCCCCGTTATCGGCGCATTACAAATGTCACGACCAAATAGCAGAGATTGGTTAAATAAAAAAAGTACCCACCTACCGTCGAGCGAACAAATCCTAATGCTGCGAGGTCAGACGGTTTCCATGAAGTGAAACTGGCTGATGAATCAGGCTAGACCTTTGCTGCCACTGTAAACAAACTAAGGCTGAGTATTATTAAGAAGTTGCGGATACGATATATACCTCGATACATAGGCCATGATACGATACATATCTTGATTCAGTGCACTTTTGTTTCGATTTAATATATTCAAATCAAGTTGATACGGTTAATAATAAAAAAAAGGCTAAATAAACCACTTCTTATGCAAAGTTCATATGAAACACAAACATTTTAATCCTCAGAACAGTGAAAATGTCAAATGTGTCGCATAAACCAGTTTCCTTCCTCTGAACGAGCAACAAAACTGTAGCTGTAACAAAATAATTTAGTAAAAAATACTCTTGGCGATATGTCGATACAGCAGCCCACGATATCGATACTGTATCATCGCATTAAAAGATACGATACATCGTAATTTAGATATTTTTGCACACCCCTAAAAAACACTAATATTGAAAGTAATTGATATTAAAATAAAAAAATAGGAACGTAACGATATCCACTTCTCTCGATACGATATTTTCACGATATGCATCTCACGATATGTTTGAAATAAAACTAACCTTGCATCTCATGAATCGTCGCATGTTGAGGGACTATTTTCTCAGCAGCAGTGGAATTTACTTTGTGGGTAAGACAGGTGCTAGGTGATATCAGTCCACCGCTGCCAAGCTTTCTATCAGGAAGTACAACTCGCTGCTGCTGCTCAGACATGAATCCTTCAAATACGAAGTTGGTTTTACTTCTAAAATTATTCCATCAACACAGACATTTACATGGACAGTCTGGTGTAATAATAGATTTGTTTCGGGTGTTTTGTGGAGTGGGTAAGACTGTTTTTAGTGGCAGGAGAACTATGGCCATTGACATGCACTAGCCTAGCACCAGCGACCTCTGCAAATACAAGGACTGGATGGAATATTTCAAAAAGTGTTGCCAACACATAAGGTCCTATGTCCAAAATTCCGGACTGTCCCTTTAAGGCTTCAACAATATCAAATTTATGCCTAGAACACTTAAAAAAACATAATTCATAATCAGTACAATCTAGAAAAAAACGAATTGCCATGGAGAATAACAAATGATTGGAGAATAATAGGAAATGGAATATTTGCTCAGTGGCATTAATTATATGGTAATAATAATCATCATTATTGTTATTGTTTATTTTAAGATGGTTTGAGCCCTTTATTGAGTTGCTTATACCTTTTTAGTTTTTTACTTTGTGTTTTTTTATGGGTTTTTTGTTATTAAAAAAGCATTACAGAACATTTCTTCCTTCAAACTCCTCCATCTGCTCCAAAACCTGACCTCTCCATTGAAAACACCATAGCTGATCAAAAACAGTTCTCAAACTCCATTAAAATGTGATTAATTTAATATTTAGTTAGTTAGTTAGTAGGGATGCAACAATAACCGAAATATCGTGATGTCGTATCGTCAAAATAGGTCTCTCAATAACATCGTGGGCTGTCACAATATATCGAATCACAAGTTTCTTTGCTTAAATGCATGGTTTTATAGTAGCAACAGCAAATAAATATAGAGAACTACATATCCCATGATTCATTTCAGTGCAGACGACATGTAGAAATATGTTTTTTTACTTCTTTTTTAATTCTTGGCTTTATGACAGTATTGATTTGCTCCAAAGTCTTGTTAAGGTATTTTAAAAACGATAAGTATCCTTTCTCCAAAATATCGTACCGTGAGATGCATATCGTGATAATATCGTACCGTGAGATTTAAATATCGTTACATCCCTATTCGTTAGTATGTTCATAATGAAGAACTAACTCTGTAACTTGACTAAAAGCTTGACAAAAGTGCATATTTTCGGACCTTTTAACACCCAGACTCCCTCCCTTCCTGCCTGAAGCTGAAGCCCGTAAGAACCACAGGAACTCCCTTTCTCTCTCATTAGTCCTCCCCTCCTCTGTTCTCTCACTCTCTTCACCTCCTCCTCTCTTCCGCTGATCCTTTCATCATTGATTTGTGTTGGGCAGCTCAATAGTTTTCAGCTCCCTGCACAATAACAGTCACCCATTCTCCCCTGCATGTGGTCTGCAATCACTAACGACATAGTATTTGATTAAACTGCATGTGGTGTTCCGTAAAGTACATTTTTAACTTGTATGCATCGCTGTTGTAGTTTTTGAAATTTTAGGTTAGTAAAATATTAGTAGGTTTACGATAATGCACATCTAAAAGTAATCTGATCTGAACTATGTCACTTTTCACTTGGAAGGCCCATGTTATTATCAGAGGCGGCGCTACCATTAGGCAAATGTAGACGCCTGCGTAGGGCCCCCAAACCTAAAGGGGCCCCCAACCAATTATCCTCAGTGCCACTAATGGCCGAGGCCTCAGAGCAATTTGATTTTCTCTCAATATGACATTAAATGAGAATAGATTACTTTTCAACAATAATCATAATAATAATCATATGTAATGGATGTAAACAAAAATGTAATTGTACTAGCAAAAAAATAAAACTACTTTCAGTTCTGGTGATCTAGTAGGTGACCGAACTAATAAGACAAGTTTCCAATCCACCATAATTTAAATAAGTAGAACAATGTCTCAAGAATAGTGGGGAAAACAGACAATAAATATATTTAAAAAACAAAACAAAACAGAAAAACACTGCATTATGGTGAGGGCCCCAAGCTCAAGTTTGCCTTGGGCCCTCGAATTGCTAACTCCGCCACTGGTTATTGTATTGCTCAGCATATTCCACAGTATGGCATTAAACTTTTCTCAGGATAGACACAGGAGACAATCACAAACCAGATCTGCGGAGAGGCGACCCCACTCACTAAGTTTGTGCAATTAATTGAATTTCGATCACAATTTTGCTTTGATTGTCAAACAATCTCCAAACTCATATTATCGAGTTGAAACAATTTAAAGTTTAACAAAGTTTATTTTGGGATATTTTTTATATAAACAATTATATTATTTATTTTTTAAATATAGAGATTATAGAACAGCTGAATATATCATACTTTTTGGATGCATTTATGCTGTTCTATGTTTTATTTCATGTTCAAAGTATATTTGATTAATTTTATGTTTTACACATTGCAAAACTGCTCTAACGTTCATATTTGTAGCCAATATTTATTTTCAATTTGAAAGTTTTGCATAAATTATCAATAACAAAGTGTTTTTTTGAGTGAGAATAAATGCATTGTGTAACTAAAAAAATAATCGTTTGAATAATCGTGATTTCAATATTGACCAAATAATCATGATATCGTGTTGATTTTTTTCATAATTGAGCAATCCTACCACTCACAGTATAAGAATGTAACTGAGTAAATGCATTATAGAGAACTGTAATGCCACTGTGGAACATTCCAGCAAAGCAATAACATTTCCATGGAAACAAGCAGATTCTATTTGGTTGCTCATTATAGTATGAGATTAAAAAATACCCTGTTCTACTGACCTCAAATTTGTCATCAACTTTCAGAAACTTCAACTACTTGTACATTAAATCAATTTATTTTCCAGATAAAAATCTAAAAATCTAATTGTGTATTGATTTGAACTATTTACAGTCCAAAAAAACCCAACAAAACAAAACAGCTAAATAAACATAATTTCACTTGTTCAGCTGGATAATCTAGTTTAGTTTTAAGACCATAAACAGATCTCATCCCATTTCATTGTCATAACGTTTGTCCGTGTTGTGTCTCATCTCCATCTGTGCCCCCCCCGTCCGTCTCTACCTCCGTCCGTCCTGTAGCAGAGAAGGTTGGGGTTAGCTTCTCTGAGGACGTAGCTCATGATGTAGAGACCCCCTCTCCCCATGAAGAAGGCCCCTGTGATCAGTCAGAGCCGGGGGGGCCCACACAGGCACTGCCCCCCCAGGTGCAAAACGGAGGAAGTCACCCAGGTTCCCATACTCCACCAGAGACAGGTGTGTGTGTGTGTGTGTGTGTGGGACGAGGGCTCCCCAGAAGAACACATACTCAGGAAAATGTGTGAATGAGTACACTGTAAAAAAGTATATCTACATCAAGTTAGAATTACTTGATTTAATTTTTTTTTTTAAATAAATATATATTTTATATTATTATTATTATATATATTTTATTATTATTATTATTATTATTATTATTTTAAATAAATTTAGTTAACAGATTTCCATTTTGTTGGATCAACTTAAAATAATTAAATGGATAACGGTGATTTAACTGTTTTTTCATTACTTTTTTTTGAGTGTTTTTAAATCTGTTTCCTTAATTGTTCAAACTAAAACAAATGATTTAATCTAATGTAATGTATTTACAATAATATTTATGAAAATAAAGTTGATGAGGTTTAGCGTTTCATTTTTCATTATTATTATTTTTATGTATTTATTATTTATTTTTCTTTATTATTTATTTTATTTTTATTTATTTAGTTAACAGATTTCCATTTTGTTGGCTCAACTGAAAAAAAAAAAATGGATAAAGGTGATTAATATATTTATTTTCATGTCTTTTTTGAGTGTTTTTAAATCTGTTTCCTTAATTGTCCGATTTAAAACAAATTATTTAATCTACTGTAATGCATAAAGTTGATGAGGTTTATCAATTCATTCAACTCTTAAGTAAAATGAACTCAATAAATCTCAGCTTCTTAGTCGAATCTTTTGACTTAGTTGATCTTGCTTTGGAACTACTGTATGTACAAGTTAAAACCAGGTTAAAAGTATTTATAAGTACTATCTGAAATGTAGATATTCTTTTTTGCAGTGTAAACTCTACATTTTTGCATGGTCTCTAAGTACCAGTTGTGATCTCTAAGGTGTATTGCTCAATGGCTCCTGCAGCTTCTCTCCAGCTTCTGCTTTGTACCCGACAGCTGCCCTGTGCCCAGACTTTGTGCTTTGTCATTTGAAACATACCATTTGCTTTCCATCGTAACACAGCCAGGAAGAGATCAACTTTCCCGCTGTTGATCTGTGGATGTTTTGCCAGCTACATTGCAAATCTCAGTGTTGGAAATGTCAAGTTTTGTGTCTTGCTAGAAGTAGTAGTGTCAGTATTTTCTATGTATATTTCTGTTGAAGTATTATGTCAAAGTAGTATTGTAGTAAGTATTGTAGTACACCCACCTGCATGGGTGCTTCTGAATCCACTCAACTGTATTGTCCTGTCATATTTCATGACTGTTGTTTTCATTTCCTATTGTTATTAACGCACTTGGGTGTAGAGGAAAAGGTTTGGTAAAAAGAAAAAAAATGTTTCAGAGGAAATTAAATTAAGTTTTTGGACAATAACTGTCTGGGACTTTTGAAATTGATCCTCACCATTAACAATTTTTCATTTTGAATATTCATATAAATTCATCCTGAAATTAGATTTTACTTAAAGCCATAGTATGTAACTTTTTAGTCATCATGCGTTTATTGCCCTGAAAAAAAAAAAAATAGAAAAACATCCTAACTTTAGCCTAGCGGGCTTGCATCTCCACAAACCTGACTCTTACTTGGCTTGGAGGAGGGCCCGCTCTTGCTTGTTTCCATGGAAATGCTTAAAAGTACGGTTTTAACTGTCAATTTCCAAGGAATCATGCAGGTGATGTTCCACCTCCAGAAAGTTACATGCTGTACCTTTAAATAAACTGCCATCATTGGGTTGACAGGAGTTTTGTTTCATCTTGACTCTCCAAAATTCATCCAAAATGACTACATAAAACACCATTAGGGTTGATAGAAATTTTGTCAACTATTTTCTCACAATAGGAAATCATTGTGTGTCTTTCCATCCAACATCAAGCTCTTCATTCCCTCATTGCAGTTCTGCACGTGTTTCCAGGTGCTATGGCCCCTCCCTGTGCTGTGTTGTGCTTATGGGGACTATCTGTGTGCAGACGGCCATGGCTTGACTTGTATTGGCTGGCTTATGTGGATGCTGCACCGCTTTGAGCAAACTTGAGTGAAACCAAGTTCTTCAAGTGCTCCTCAAACTCGCAGCCCCACCTGAAGAAGTTCTCGAGAAGGCCACCGAAGAAACTGCCAAAGACAAGGAAGACCAGATGGAGTTAGCACATGCAAAGGGAGAGCCAGAAGATGCAGATGTAGCGAATGCTGGAGCTTCAAGCCAAAAGGAGGTGGCCATGACAAAGGATGACAACCTGGAATCACAAGTTGAGAAGATATCAGTAAAGGATGCTGATGCTGCCGGAGGAGAAGAGGTCTCAAAAGTGGAAGGAAGTGAAATTCCTCAGACAAAAAAATATCAAGATGACGAAAGACCACCAACATCTAGTCCAGAACCGTTACCAGAAGTAAAAGAACAAGACACAACCTCAAAAAGCTACTTTGAAACAACCAAAGAAGATTCTTCAAGCTATTATGAGTTGACTACGGAAGCTCCCACTAAAAAGTCAAACCTTAGCATTACCGTTGGACCCACCACAGAGCCAGAACAAACCTCAATGAAGTTCTCAGAAGGTTTGTGTCCTTCAGACCTGGAGAACATTCACCCACCCACACCATTTGTAAAAGGTCTACCGCCACCGTTCCCTCCAGCTGTGTCGGTAACCCCAACTTTAACTGAGTCTCCTGAAGAAGCAGCAGAATGTTCCTGGTCTGAGAAGCGTAGTTCAATGCTTCAACAGTCTGATAGTCTTTCTGAGATGTTGGACCTAGCTGGAGCTCTGCCTAGATTGTCTTTGGAGAAGAGAGAGGAGCATGTGAGGAGAAAGTCTGTAGCCTCCATGCCATCACTGGAAGGAAAAACTCTGGATGACTTTGCGACTGGCGACCAGCGAACTGTTGGTGGAGAAAGTCCTATGGAAGATCTGGGATATTGCATCTTCAGTGAATATGCCGGTCCAATGCCTTCTCCCGCAGATTTGCCAAGTCCTGTTGAGTCAACACCCCTGAGATTCCCATCAGTTGAGAGTGAAGGAGGAGATGATCACGGAGTTGCTGAAGTTCAAAAGAGCGTCCAACCAGATCCAAAAGCAATGCTACCTGAAATACTGCAACGGCCAACACTGGAGCGGAAGGACTCACCAGGCAAGATGTCGCTAATTCTTGAGAAAGCAGTTCCGAGTGGACTGAAACCTGATCGTCTCAAAATTCCAGTCTCTGCTTCTAAGGACCGTCTTGATGGTGGTCCTCCTGGAGATATAACAATTCAACCGATCCCGGAGGTGGACATTGAGAAAGATCCTTCAAGAGAAGCATCACCCATTCCACCTGACTGCTCTTTTACATTTAGCTGTGCCGAAACAGGATGCAAGTCTCCCTGTTCTCCAAACACACCCAAATCACCAAATGTTGCTCAGAATACCGATATGACACAGCAAGAAGCTCCAAACGCTGAGGAACCTAGTAAGATAGAAGAAGAATCAAGCAAGACTGAAACCTCTGATACTCCGTGTGAGTTGTCTCAAGAATGCAAAGAAGTAACAAGTGAACCAGCAAGGGAAGATTGTCCAAAGAAGTTAGAGATAGATCCTCAAGAGACTTCACGTGTCCGAAGTCCATCCCCCATTATCATTATACCTCAAGCATCCCAAGTGGAGGAGACCGAGGAAGACGACTTTGAAATAGCTGAAGAACCCTCAGAAGTAATCGAGGAAACTGAAGATGTAGCACCTTCAAAACCAAGCGTGGAAGATAAGGAAGATAAAGGTAAAGAAGGACAAAAGACAGAAACAATTTTGCTTCTAGTTGGAGATCAGGTGGTAGAAGATGATCCCAGGTCTGGAGCAGAGGAATGGAGCCACAGTGGAATCAACAGTGACGATGGCGAACAAGCTACTGACAGTTCGCATCTATCTCCATGCTCTGACCCTGATGTGCCCCAACAGCTGGAAGAAGGTAACAAGACTGGCGAGGAGGAAAAGGCGGAAGTTATCAAGGAACCTCAATCCACAGATGAAGACCAAAGCAAAGATCTTGTCGATGTAGCTAAAGAAGAGACATCCGAAGTCCCTCAGGAGATCAAGGTAGCAGAGAACATGGAAGACATCTTTGACCAACCAACTGAGGAAGGAACCGCGGGAGACGTCTCCATACTGGACACGGACAGTGGATGGTTAGACACTCAAGGTACCCAATGTTTTTTACACTTAACTAGTCCAAGGTTTTACGATGGAGATCTTAGTGTTTGTGTTGTCACTTTTCCCACTGCAGATGAAGACAAAAGCATCGTATCGGAACGAATCGAGGAACTTCCAAAAGTCGAAAGCGCAAGCAGTGCTCGCGCGGCGGACAAACCTAGTAAACGTACCTCTGGCAAAGTACGTGGCCCACCTTGCCACTCCGAGAGCCGAGCCAATCGCAAAGCTGCCGGTCAAGTCACCAAAGAAGACATTAAGAAAAAACGAGGTTGTCAGTTTGAGATATGTGATTTTTTTTTTTTTTTTTTTTGGAGAAATGCCCTTAACTGTTGAATGCTTTTGGTTGTTAATGTTCTTTTTTCTAATAGTTGGGATAAGGAAGGCTGAGCAGAATAAACTGTCAGTCCTCCGCTGTAGCTCACCGTCTCGAAAGAACGTCCGTCATCCCAGGCCTTCTGCTAGACGCAAGGCCCCAGGTGAACCTTCCTCCACCAGGAACCAAAGCTATGGATAGAGAGAGTCCTTGTAACTGAATTCTTAGTTAGTACTACCTTAGAACGTTGTCGCATTTCGGTGGGCTTTCTCTATTGATGGCTATGGGTGGTTGACGCAATGTAGCTGGCAAACTTCACATGCTGCAATGTCATTTTGTAAATTTCCACATCAAAGTCACTGTTATGCTTTGGGGCGGCTATCTCTTGCTTTCTTTTCCAGTTCTGTACAAGGTAACGTGCTGCCTATGCTGGTTTTCCATGTTTTTTCTCATTTCAGATTCACGCATGTAAAATGTCTCCCTCTGCTGATGAAAAAAATATGTTATGACCTTAAATGTCTTTATTTTTTTCAGGCATGGAGAGTCATCAGCCGCTCAGTGTGGCCCACCAGTCCAGGGAGAGGACAACGGTAAGTGTGTTGATCAGCATTCTAGGCTAAAATTTGGTTTGTGCTTATAGAAATTGTGTTTATTTTTTTCTTTTTAATTTTTGCATGCTGCCGTATTTTTCCTATTTGCATGTTCTTTCCTGCATGTTTACCTTTGTCATTCAGAATCAGAGAAAACCAGTAAGTATATCAACAAACAACAACAACCACTATAGTTCAACAAAAAAATGGTCTAATTGGTTTATGTTGTCATTATGAAATTAATTGCTAAATGACCGGTTTCAAATTTTGATCTAGTTTGAATTATTTAGTATAATTGGTACTAGAACGACTGCATTCCCTAATGTTCTGCTGTAAGGACAGTATTTTCACCTTCATACTAACACACAAATCCTAGCATCTGTCTTGTCTCTAGTATTGACCCTTCCAATGTGAGTAGTTAAAATTTACTACAAAACTGCTAATTGTGAGTAACATGTTTTCCGACGTATGAGTTGTACCAGCCAAAAATGCATAATAATTGAAGCAAAAAACATATGCAAGTTGCATCGGACTATAAATTGTACTTTTTAAGGGAAATATATTTTATAAAATCAGAGAAGAGGAACTAACATTTCCTGTTGAAAGTCAAGTTCTAATAATAACAATAGAAGAGAGAACAACAGACTGTTAACGTCACATATGAACAGTTCTTCAGATAAACTATAACATAAACAACAGAACAGAACAAGTTGAACAAACTCTCCATCTCACTCCAAATCACTAAATCCATTCAATTCTTCATCCTCGGTGTCACTTCTGAGCAACTCCACGACCTCTAGAGGTAAACAGAGCAACGCTTCCTCTTCTGTGTAGCTGTCGTCAGACTCAGCATGAGTTCCAGTTAGAATTATTTCGGCCTTTCTGAATCCCGACAGCATCCAGTTGTCACTAAAGTCACTTAAATTTTCAATTTTCAGTGTTAAAGAAGTAATGTGCGATCGACTGACATGATACAGACAGAACAGAGGCTCTTTCTGCAGGAGACATGTGCAGTAGAGTGAAGTGACAGTGGTACAGGAGGAACAGGAGCAGCAGATACTGACACACAAGACTAGACCCTCTCCACACTTCAGTGTGAACATTTTAATATATAAGTCACACCGGGGTATAAGTCACAGGAAACACCCAAACCATGAAAAAAGTGCGATTTATAGTCCAAAAAATACAGTTATAAGAACAGTTTTGGCTACAAACGAGTAGGGCTGGACAATTAATCAATTGAATGCAAATTTGATTACTTATCTATACAAATGGAATTGAAGACAGTTTACAGTGTCTTAAATAGAATATGGTAACTGATTGAAGTCAGATAGATAACATTTTTTGGCCGTCTCGCGGAGTCCTACAAACAGTATAAAAAAACATTAATTTGCGGACTTGAAAAATCATCTTCTAAACTACTCCTGGAAGGGTCTCTATCTCACCTCTGTTGCGTCTCATTATTCACTCTTCCATGTCCACACCCTGTTTGCCTGCCACCCCCTGTCGCCCCTGCCCCCTGTCCCTGTCACCCCTTCCCTGCATGCGCCCCTGCCGTCCGTGGACCGCCGTACAGAGCCCCACTCGCGCCGTCCTGCTCAAGATGGCGATGCAGAGACGGTCCCAGGAGCAGGACGTCAGACCGGGCTCTGCGGGGGCCCTCAAACGCAGCCCGCGGGTGGAGGCGGGGCTAAACCAGGCCCGCCCCTTCTCTGCATGTTCCCAATCACCCCTCACTTATACTAACCAATGGGAGGACCAGGTAACAGAAGAGAATTGTGGGAGTTGTAGGAAAGGTAGATAGAACAGGATGTTAAAGGCACCATATTATGCAAAGCTGATGTTTTTGTGTCCTAACAGTGAGTACATTTACATGGCCAGTAACAATTAGATAACTAGAATAATGAGATAATGTAACACTACACTAGACAAAATCAGCACTGGAATGATTGGATTAAGTCTGGTTACGATCTTGACTATAAAAATACAAGGGACATTTTCATGTTTTTGAAGAATATCTTTGGTAAATGTGTGTCATAAATCAGTTTAAGGAACTTTATTTACTACGATCACAAGTGAACCTGGATACATTTTGCATCATTCTCAAGTGAAAGCCTATATGAACCTCCAGAATTCCCTCACTGAGCTGCAGGTGTGGGGGTTTTGTAGTGACCATTCAGATCAGAGAGGCATTTTAGGTTTAAACACATTGAATTTTAGCATTGAAACTGACAACGTAAATGTTAGTGATGTGAGGCTCATTCTGCTTTCTGATTGGATAATCGTCTTGAGAACAAAAATACCAAATAAGCTCTATTCCTGCTTACATCACAAGCCAGGAAGACGTTTGGAAACATGCGGTGACAACGTCCGGCGGACTCTGTTCACGGTATGAAGTCTGACAAAATCAGTGGTATAGTGGGGATTTTTTAAGTGGGCATACACGATTCATGACGTCATCGATGTGATGAACCAGGACTAAACCAGGACTGAATCAGGACTTGAGAGTGGGAGAACCCTCAGTCCGTGGAGCAGGGTGTCTGCAAAACGCGACCAGGCAACGGCTGCGCTTAGCCCTGTGGAGTGCGGAACTGTGCGCCGGTCTCTTCTCCTGCAGTTACTCTACGGTCTACGCGAGCACTGAGTACATGTGATTAGAAGAGATGAGACGCCAAATTCAAGATGATTCCAAACGGCACATAAGTCTGCAGTCTTCGTTTTACCACTGACCACATTTACTTCAGTGGGTTTGATCATAGTCGGTCGGTGAGTTCAGTGTCAGGAACTACACCGGAAGTTTCATTGCATGTTTCCAAACGTCTTCCTGGTTTGTAACGTAAGCGTGAATAGAACCTATTTTAACATAAATCAGCATTACAATTGTTAAAAGTTGATTTGGACATGTTTACCTCATACCTGGGGAATTTAAAATGAAATTCTTATGGAGACAAATTGAGCCCTGAAATGATTAGAACTAGTTTGGTTAAGATGAGAAAACATTATAAACCTCTGAAAGTGCAAAACATACAGCATTTAACTTTAATTTAAAGTTTTAATTTGATGTTTTTTTCAAGAAGGGTTCACACTAGATCATTTCTCTTAAAGTTGAGGCTAACATACTGTCTATTTGAATATTTGCATCTTTCCAGGAGAGAACATACAGGAGTCCAGAGAAGAAGTCGTCCCTCCCGAGGCCCGCCAAGTCTCTGACCCGCCACATCCCCGCGGCAGAACAGGAGGATGGCGCCCCCACCAGGCCGACCTGTAAGACTGCACCTGCACAACCTCATGCACTGCAATTAGTAGTGCAATTGTACTGTTGGAACTCAATTTTGATTCAATACATGACAAAATTGTTTGTCAATGATGTATAAAAGTATACAGTTTGAATTAAGAAACATTTTCTTACCCCATCGGTATTCGGTTTCCAAGTACAAATTTACACCAATGAGATTAGATTAGATTAACACATATGTCATATTTTCCGGACTATAAAGATCACCGGATTATAAGGCGCAATATTAATAATGTTTATTTCTCTCGGATTATAAGGAGCATTAAGCAAAACAAACGGACGACACTCGAGACTGATCCTTAGTCCAGGCATCCACGATCCATTGGCAGATCGTGGTGTAATTCACCCGGTGTTGCCTCCATGTCTTGGTGAATGTGGATTATGAATGTGAATGTGGGTGGATCATTTAAGTTTTTTTTTTTTTTATTTCCTACAAGGACAACTCAAATATACATTAAGTAATAATGTGTTTAATGCATCTTTGAGCACATTTATTTACATTTTACAGAAACTAAACTTAAAACCACATGGCTCATTTGCATAAACTATAAGCTCTGAAAAAACAGCCTGTTCCTTGTGCTCTGATGCAGTCAATTTCTATCGGACTAAAGGACCATAAATTGGATTTTACTCCACGAGGCTCCTGACTACAGTAGCCGACAATCCATCAAGTGGTGCAGCTTCGTAGTTTACTAAAGTTGTACTAAAACATTTTGACAGATTTTTGAGCATCGTGCACCACATTAAACTGGTTCGAGGTCAGTAAACACAACCAGAATTAATACATAAGGTGCATTGTTGATTGTTGAGAAAAATAAAAGATTTTAAGTGCACCTTATAGTCCGAAAAATACGGTAGGTCCTATTATTAAACACAGCTGTACTCATAAAAGTTAACTTTGCTTTTAGTTTAATTATTTAGTGTTGAATCAAAGCACATATGTATAATTTAAATCTGCTTAATTAATCTAAAATGTTTCAATAGTAAAACTCTATACAGACTGTACATACACTATACCTACAGTATACAAGTACACTTAATAAAACTCTGCACTCCCACCTCCTCCCCTCTCCCTCCTCCCTCCTCCCTCCCTCTCCGCTCTGTATGAAGCGCTGCGCACAGACCACAGAGGGGGCGCCCGCTCCAGCAGAGGGCCTAGTGGCACAGGTAGACCTCCATAGCTCCGGGAGTAGAACCATCGCACTGCCCCATTCACCATCCTGCTCGATATGAAAATCAGTGTTGGGTATCAAGCTCTAACAATTTCAAAACATCCCACTTGATTTGAGTAGTTTTGACTAGTTTAGAGTTACTGAGATGACACTTTGCAGTCATCAAATCAACGTTCCCTGTGTGTGTGGTGCTAACTGTAGGCATGTCTCTGTCTGGAGCTTTAATCTGATCTTTATTTTACCACAAAAGTACAACATGCAAGATGATTTGTGGTTAAACAAGTCTCTCACACAGAGTTTTCAGACAGTCTTAAAACTTATTTGTCTTTGCTAATGCATGCATTATATCGCCATGGTCACTGCCGAACATTGCACCAGTAGAGATCCATGTAGAACCCCCCAAGTGTGATGCTACTGCAAAGTATCAATACATTGCATAATAGCCTACAAATCTTGCATTGTTTAAATATTCGAGTGGTCCATCAAAGCCTGGTAAAAAAAAAAAGTTTCCGATAACCTTGATTAGAATCCTGCATTAGGTTTTAGCTTCTAAAACAGGATTTAGGGAGAAAACTGAGAGAAAAGAGATGTTTTAGAGGTTGCTTAAGCTGCATGAAGTTTCCTGGAAATTGAGTAATTTAGCTTTTTCAAGTAACTTTTTATGGACTTTGTAAGTAATTTTTATGCAAGTTTCAGTTTGTGTTTGCACAGTAAAATACACCTTATTTATTTGGTTCACTATATTATAGAATAGGGCAATTTTCAAGTGTCTCGAACAAAATCAAAGTGAAAAAATGCATAGCACACACAGATGGCCGATGTCCAAAAGTTCTTCCTATTCTCAAATAACGTCTCGGCAAAAAAAGCCTTCGTCAGATACTCGTCTCGCTTTAGACCACAGTACTGAACTTTGGTCTTTGGTGTGTGTTTTCTGTTTCATTTGATTCAAGGGTTTTGAGCAACCTCTAAATATTACTTAATTTGCATAAAACTTTGACCCAAATATTTTGGCCAGATTTGGAACCAAATGCAGGGTTCTAATCTAGAGAATCTAAAAAAAAATAAAATAAAATTGGACCACCCTAATAAATATGTAAATTTTAACCAGTCAATACTACTCAAACCAAATAATTCAAGTAATTTCTCTCAAAGTTTTAAAAGTTTTAATTCATTCTATTGCTGTATTTTCATCTATTACCCATATTGCCCAACACTGATTACCTAGTGTCCACCTCAGTAGTAGTAGTAGTAGTAGTAATAGCAGTAGTAGTAGTAGTAATAGTAGTAGTAGTAGTAGTAGTAGTAGTAGTCTCATGCACTCGTCCCTCCTCTCACTCCATCACAATAGACCCAAATTAAATCTCCTTCCACAGGTTTCCGCTCTGCTCTGGTCTCCAGGCAACAAGCGGCCGACGTCCAATCAGATCAGCCGCGGTCATTTGTTTTCTGTTTGACCTTTGACCTCTGAGTTATTTGCTCGCCTGTCAACAATGCGATGGAGATAAGAAGGGATACACGCGGGCATTTTATTGTTCGCGCATGTTTTCCAATACGCAGACCTGTGTTGCTATGACAACAATGGGATTACATTAACAAAGTATGTGCTAATGTTGGTTAACAAATAAAGACTTTAAAATAAATTAGTCTGGTTAAAATGCCCAACTGTTTCTTTTCTATACACAAAATGACTACACAGTTTACGGTATTAGATAAATTTACAAGAAGAACAATGTATAAGAAAAATCTAGCTAAAAAAAAAAGTAAAATTCTGATGAAATTGTAATGTGTTCTATCAAATGTGATTTATTTTCTGCAAAAATATGAAAATTATGAATGGAATTATTGCTTATAAGTACAAGTAGAGCATCATTAAAAAGTAAACTCATTCCACAGTTGGTGTTTAAAATAGAAAACCCTGCAGAAATAAAAATGTCCCACAGTATGGCATTAAAGTTATCCTTCTTGCATTTATTCATTCAAAATTATTTTAGGAATTCATGCATTCTTTCTCCACAGATCTGACCAGTAATTCGGTCTGATGGCTGTTGTCTCCATGGAGATGTTTAGTTTAGGTTTCAAAGACTGTGAAACATTACAGTCAAAGCAAAAGTTACATAGTTTAACTTTAAATATGGATCAAAAAGTCAGTTCTGAAAGGGCACAAGCAAATTATTAACAATTACTTTTTTTTTTTTACTTAAGAGTTTGAAAAATCATACAAGAATCTTCCTCAGGTTCAAGTCTGTTCATACCTTAGGGTTGTTTAATTGACTTAACTAATAACAGATACTTACTGTAAACATCTTGGGTGTGTTACTTTCTAGCTTTAAGGCAGAGTTACAGAACTTGTCAGAATTGAAGCTTAGTGTCTAGTTTCTTAAATAATATAAAAAAATATATAAAAATGACTGTCTTACACTAACCAAGAAGGAATTTGTGAAGAAAAATATGTTGAAAAAGTATTTGAGTATTTAAGAGTATTTGAAGTATTTTAGTTCCATGCTGATGGCATCACACTATAAGAATTCTATCCAAAATTTGGCACAATTTATAATTATAAAACACATTTTTGACACATTAAACATGATTTTGATCAAAACAAATGTGTTTTCTTACATTTTTATTTGTTCAATAATCATTTTTGTGACATTAGATGAGTTTTGGTCGAATGTGCCACATTCATAATATCATAACTTCCCAAAAGAAAGTGAAACCTAAAAACTGATCAAACCGGGGGAAAAAAAAGTCAAATGTTTAGCAAAATCTTAAATATAATGATCTTAAAGGTGCACTGTGCAACTTTAATTGAGGAAAGTGCAAGTATCCGTGTAGATGTACTAAACAGTTCAGCCCGGAATGTTTCACAATACGGCATTAAAAAATAATTAATTAAACTTATCTGCATGGAGACAAGCAGGCCAAGGTACAGATCAGTTCGGTGGAGAGGTGAGCTCCTTTACACAAGAATGCGTGTTTTTAAAAGTACTTCTGAACAAATAAAACGAATAAAATCACCTCTAATGAAACAAAAGCTGAATAGACTTTTAATGCCATACTGTGGAACATACCAAGCAACATCGTAACGTGGTTTTAGTCAAATTGTAACGTCCTCCATCCTCTCGTGTCCCTCCATCTTAGGCACAGACTCCAGCCGGTCCCGGTCAGCCCGCAGCGGCACCTCCACGCCCACCGCCGTCACCCCCGGCACCCCGCCCAACTACTCGTGCCGCACCCCGGGCTCCCGCACCCCCGGCTCGCACACGCCCAAGTCCTTCTCCGTGCTCCAGGAGAAGAAGGTGGCGGTGATCCGGACCCCCCCCAAGTCGCCCTCGTCGGCCCAGAGGCAGCTCAAAGTGATCAACCAGCCCCTGCCCGACGTCAAGAACGTCAAGTCCAAGATCGGCTCCACGGCTAACCTCAAGCACCAGCCCAAAGGGGGACAGGTGAGCTCGCGCGGCGTACGGGGAGGGCGGGTTTGGCGGGTTTGGCGGGTTGCTATGGCGGCAGGGTGGCATAGAGGTTAGGTTTACGGCCACGCGGCAAGAAGGTTCCAGGTTGGATTTCCAGGACCAGGTGAGGACTTTTTTTCACTACAGGACCAAGAATTACAGTTAAAAAAAAAAAAGCCAGTATTACAATTTGGAAATGTTTAAAGCCACAGTTATGTAATTTTTAGCCCCCAAAAAAGTGACAATTTTTTTCTATTGCACCAAAAAACGTAGAAAAACATGTGTCCTGACTGTGAGCAGACTCGCATCTCCACAAACCTGGCTATTCGGTCTGAAGGAGGCCCTCTTCCTGCTTGTTTCCATGGAAATGTTGTTTCTTTGACTCTATTATTCCACAGTTTGGCTTAAACTCATCTATCTCCATGGAGAATGTCCCAAGTGTGGCTTTAACGTTCTGCTTCCATAGAACCATGCAGGCGACGCACCACCTCCACAAAGTTACATACTGTCACTTTACATATTTTACAGATGATTGTTACAGATTTTTATAGAAACAAATAAATTTAAATATAATAAACAAGTTCAAGTGCATTCTCAATATTATGTTTAACACTTTTATCAAATTAGTTAAATTTAAACGATTAAACTACTTATTTTTTCTATTAAATATACTTAATCTGAATACATTTTAAAGGGACGGTTCAGAATTTTGGGCATAGGAGCTCATTTCCTAGTGAGCCAGAGTGTTGGAGACGTGTGGAGACACTTTTTCAAATATTCCATCCTGTCTTTGTATTTGCTGGTGCTAGGCTAGTGCATGTCAATGGTCATAGTTATCCCAGAGTCCTGCATGGTACCCACAGGTGATTTAGTCCTGTTTTAGTCCTGGGATCAGTCCTAGGTTTAGTCCTGGTTCAGTCTCCTGCTCAATAAATAATGCCTGTGAAGTGATGATGTATTTTTGACAGTCTGTGAATTCGCATTCGTACTGAAGAAAGCGTAACGTAATGGGTCTCCAAAAATGGACCTGTGCAGGACAGTCTTACCCACTCCACAAAACACCCGAAGTAAATCTATTATTACACCAGACTGTAAATGTCTGTGTTGATAAAATAATGTTTGAGATAAAACTAACCTTGCATCACATGAATCATTGGCTACGTTCAGACTGCAGGGCTTAACGCTCAATTCCGATTTTTTTGTGAAATCTGATGTTTTTGCGAGGTCGCTCACATTTCCAATTAAATGTGACTTGTATTTGATCCCCTGTGTGAACAGTAAACGGCCCGAAAGTGTCCCGCATGTGCACTGGAGACACGACGCCACAGCGAGCGTCTCTGTGTTTACGGAAGTTGTCCAAACATGGACGCAGCATTGAGCACCTGGAGATTTTAAAGTTCCCCTCGTACCGGAGCCAGAACATGAACAACTTACTTGTTTTAAGAAAGAGATTGAGAAGGAGAAGGACGAGGTTTTTGGTCGTGGTGTTTTGTGGGACAGCAGCAGCGACGTCCGTTGAAAGGAACGTGTGGATGTGGAGACGGAGCCAAGAGTGGTGAGTGGTGATGTGCTTCACTTCAGTGACACTCCGTGTCACTGAAGCGCCTACTTCAGCGCAGAATAGTGACGTTTGTGTCTTGTTGATAAGGTGTAGGTCGAATGAATGCACTTTGACCGTTCACACTGAAGTCACATGTCAAAAGATCAGATATGTATCGGTTTCAGGAGCACATATCCAAGTGTCCTGGGTCACATTTGAAAAAATCGGATCTGTGTCGTTCAGACTGTCATTGAAAGATCAGATACAGGTCACATAGAAGCCAAAAAAATCGGATTTGGGTCACTTCAGGCTGCAGTCTGAACGCAGCCAAAGTATGTTGAGGTTCAAATGCAAGATTGGTTTTACTTCTAAATTTATTCTATAGACACAGACATTCACATGGACAGTTTGGTGTAATAATAGATTTGTTTCGGGTGTTTTGTGGTGTGAGTAAGACTGTTTTTAGTGGCAGGAGAACTATGACCATTGACATGCACTAGACTAACACCAGTGACCTCTGCAAATACAAGGACTGGATGGAATATTTCAAAAAGTGTCTCTAGGAAATGAGGTCCTATGTCCAAAATTCCAAACTGTCCCTTTAACTATATAATAAAGTATAAACAACATATTTATGTCAAAAATTAAAATTGTTTTACCCTTTTGTCTTTTGTCTAAAGTCAACTGCCTATTATCATAAATCATGTTCACCTTGTGTATGACTTTTACTGGTGCCATGTCCATATACGGCCACAAGAGGGCATCACCTACTAACACAGCACATGTAGTAACTGTACCACTTTAACCTTCAAGCATGCTCATGTCCTGTTGGCTATTTTTACATGAATAAAAGCGAAAATACAGCAAAAATAATTAATAAGAGAGACATGAAAATTAAAAGGACAGAATTTTATGGTGGGATTTGCAGATTAATCTCTATGTAACAAAAACTGGCACAAAGTTGAACATCTTCTCTGTCTGTATCAAATGAACAAAAGTGAACTAACAATGATAATTTTCACTATAACAGAAAGTGTAGCGATTATTCAACCCCAAAGATGTGATTGTTGTCAGAGGAAAAGACTTTAAGACGTAAAATTTGAAAAAGTTTGTGGAACCGATCCCAAACAAATAATTATGAAAAGGTTCAATATTTGTGGATCATAAGTTTGGAATTGAATCCTGAATCTCAATGGGATCATCAAAATCTAAAACGTGAACACAACCAGTTGATACTTTGCAGTGACATCACTCTGGGGGGTACTACATGTGTGTCTATGGTGTAATGTTCAGCTGTTACCATGATGCCACAATTCACACATAGCAATAACTACCGTTTGATTTATTTATTTTTTTTACTTAATTTTTATAAGAACGTTTTAGTTTTACATATCGCATATTTACATCCACAAATTATTAGTATTGTAGAACAGAATAAATCATCAGACCCCTAATAAAAAAAGAAATAAAAATAAAATAGGAGGCCATCAAGCAAGTGCAGATGTATACATTTTTTTTACATTAGGCTTTGTTTTGATTGTAAGATTTCCACTTTTTCCAATACAGTTCTCCTTTATCTGAGGAGTGTCTCAAGGAAAATGTTATTCATTCCATAATCTGAATTTCGTTGATTATTTGAGCCCGTTCTGGAAAAGTAGGAGATTTGTCCCGTAGCCGTTTTCGTGTGATCGCCTGATTGAAGTATCTGAAGAAGGTATCTATATCTTTTTTTCAGCCCAGTTGGTATGTTTACTAAATAAAATACACAAAAATTTTCCTTCAGTTGCAGTCCTGTAATACGCTTCATGTTTTTAATGATCTCTGTCCAGTAGGGGGACGACCAAACCATTTTAAAATTGTCTAAAAACTCAAAAGAAAAAATACAAAATGGATTGAAACAACACTTTTTCAGAAGCCTGTGATCAATATGAACGTTCATAGGTCATTAGGTGTTTGATTTTCAACAAAAAACTGAAAAAATGTTGTCTTAAATTTTTGTAGATCCGGCGAAATCAGCTCTTTCTGGTCAGATTGCGTTAAATTAAAGATCAGATTAAAGTCTAATTTTTGAGTAACAGAGTTTCAGACAGAGCAGTGCTTACAGTTGGCGTCACTCCCCGAGAGAATATTCATGACCTGAGCTGCAAAGTATCAACAGCCAGTGTTGGGAAGGTGACTTTTAAAATGTACTCCCCTACAGATTACAGATTACAGACCCCAAAATGTAGTTTGTAACGTAATCCATTAAATTACTTAAAGTGAGTAACGTAATCTGAATACTTTGGATTACTTGATTTGCTGTAGAGAAGCAAAGACGAGGATATCGTAACATAAGATGTTTTGTCTGTTAAAAGAAAATAAAAAGCTCAGACTTTACTTAACCAAATTAAAAATATTATTGATAGAAGAAGAGGAGACACGGTCCACACAGCATGGTTTAGTCCTTTTAAATCCTGTTTTAGACCTGTTTTAGACCTGTTTTAGACCTGGTTTAGTCCTGGTTTAGACCTGGTTTAGACCTGGTTTAGTCTGGTTCAGTCCTGGTTTAGACCTGGTTTAGTCCTGGTTTACCTGGTTTAGACCTGGTTTAGTCCTGGTTCAGTCCTGGTTAGACCTGGTTTAGACCTGGTTTAGACCTGGTTTAGTCCTGGTTTAGACCTGGTTTAGTTTAGCCAAAATGTGAAAACAGGAAAATACCACCATGTAATCCATTTATTTCAACAAAGTAACTGTAATCCAATTACCACTCACTGAAACAGTAACTGTAACTGAATACAGTTACTCATAATTTGTACTCTGATTACGTAACTCCAGTACATGTAATCTGTTACTCCCCAACACTGTCAACAGCCCATTTCTTTCCATCTGAAATCATCAAATTCTAGACTGTAAACACAATCCATTGAACCACAATCAAGCAATTTTTATCTCTGTCCAGTAGGGAGACAACCAAACTGTTTTAAAATTGTCTGCAAACTCAAGAAAAAATACAAAATGGATTTAAACAACACATTTTCAGAAGCCTGTGATCAATATGAACGTTCATGGTCATGTTCAGGTGTTTGATTTTTGACAAAAAACTGAAAAACTGTCGGCTTAAATTGTTGCAGATCTGACGAAATCAGCTCAGATTAAAGTCAAATTTTTTGAGTAACAGAGCTTCAGACAGAGCAGTGCTTACAGTTAGCGTCACTCCCTCAGAGAAAGTTGATGACATGAGCTGCAAAGTATCAACAGCCCATTGCTTTCCATCTGAAATCATCAAATTCTAGACCGTAAACACAAACTATTGAACCACAATCAAACAAAATCAGTTGAATCTTGTTTTCTAGCGTGTCTGTTTTATTCTATTTTTATCTGTATATTTCAATGTCCGTTTTTGTTGCTTTGCCATATTTTCACCTTCCGCCGACCCCTTCGCTGGCCTCCTTTTACCTGCTTCAGCCCATACGCA